TAGCCTTCCATCTCTGACATTCATTCATTTAAGACCAGAAAGAATGAACACAAAGAGACAGAAACAGAGATATCACCATGCATCCACATCCAGGTGGCATCTACTACTACTACTGCCTCTCCTCACAACCCAGGGGGGACCATTTCTTCCTCCTCTTCACTTGACAAGTCCCGTGGAGGAGAAATCAGGCTTGTCAGACCAAGCCTTTGGCAGGCACATCCAGTTCCAGATCAGCAGCTATTTAACAGACTTCCTGTCGCCAGATAGTAGACGGACCATAAGACACGGGCACATGTTGTCAAGCGGAGAGGGGACGTGCAGCTCCATCACACGTGGGCAAAAACAGGCTGATCCAGCCTCTAGGTTGGTTGATCCCAAGCAGAGCAGACCATGCAGGCTCTAAGGACTAGGCCCTCACTGGCCGGTTCTGCCATTACACCCCAATACTCAAGCATCTATGACTTTTATCCATGGGATATTCACTCCATCAAAGTGAATGTGGCCCTTTCATACCTTAGTTTCATGAGGGGCCAGAAAAATTCAGTCCACGGTGATAAATGTCTCCAAACTTAGCTAGGCTGGCTTCCAGATGACAGACATACAGGACATCCCCAAGAACCTGCACAGGAAGTTAAAAGGACTATAATATTTATGTTCTATTTCACAATGTCATCTGTTTGGGCAAACACAGTATAACTTGCTTTCAAAGAAAACTTGCAACTTTAAAAAATTGAATTAACCTAGGAAAGAAAATGGGTAATCCTCTGAAATGTTCAACAATGGCATTTAATTGTAATTGCATTAAATGTTTCATCGTCTGTAATTTTTTTTTTAAAGGGAAATAATATCCTTCCCTAATGGATAAAAGAGGAAATCCAGTGGAGCAGCTGAACTAGTACAATCCAAGTTGATTAAAGACAGTTTAAATACCAGAAATACATAAACACTGAGTATACGTGCAGAGAATTTTTTCCCAGAGAAAATCAGACACTTCTGATAAGCAAAAAGAGTCTTTTTCAAAAGCCATGTCTGTAGCATCCAAAGGATCATTTGCTTTTTATATGGTTGTTCACAGAATTGTTAAGTATAAAAACATTCCCCTCATTACACAGGGAAAATGTTGGTGCTGCCCATGGTAGGAGGTGAATCATATGACTCCCTAATGTCTCCTGAAACTTGCATATTTGGTGAATAATTTTCTTTTTTTTAAATTTTTTTATTAATTTATTTTGATTTATCAACAATCACTTCCATATGCTTTTGAGTTTAAAATTTTTCTTCCCCTTCCTCCCCACCACCCTCCCCAAGATGGGCGCACAATCTGATATAGGCTATACATATACATTCCTATTAAACACATTCTCACATTAGTAATGTTGTAAGTAAGAATTAGAACCAATAGGAGGAACCACCAGAAAGAGGAAACAAAACTCAACAGAAGAGAAAAAAAATAGCAAATATTACGCTTCGATCTACATTCAGATTCCACAGTTCTTTTTTTGGATGTGGTTAGCAGTTTTCATCACGAGGCCTTTGGAGATGTCTTAGATCCTTGTATTGCTGGGAAGGGTTAAGTTTATCAATATTAGTCATCGCACAACGTGGCTGTTATTGTGTACAATGTTCTCGTGGTTCTGCTCATTTCACTAAGCATTGATGAATGATTTTCAAAAAAACTTAGTGCTCTAAATAAATCATTGCAAGGTCCTTCCTCAAATTTATACTCCGATCCAGAATGGGAAAGTGACCAAATTTATGAAGAAGTTAAACCTCTGCTTAATGAATTGGCAAAATAACATTTTTGATATGCTCTTCATTTTAAAAACTATATACCTCACACATAAAATAGAAGTAAAGATATATTTGCTCATCATTTGACTCATCTATCCTCATTTTATTTTATTTTTTAAATAGTATCCTATAGTTTCCAATTACATGTAAAGACAATTTTTAACATTCATTTAAAAAAATTTGGGGGTTCCAAATTTTCTCCTGTCCCTCCTCCCCTCTCCCTTCCCTAAGGCAATAAGGAATTTGATATACGTTACACACATGTAATCATTCTCATTTTATTTTAAAGACCTAGATAATTCTAAATATGCAGAAATAAGGAGCTCATCTGCCATGAGCAAATATGATATATTTGATCTGATTTCATCAGAACAAGTATAGTTAATAGACAATGTGATGATACGTTGAAACAAACATTTGAACTTAAAAATTTTTGTGGTTTTGGCTACAGTTGAATAACAATTTTTATGCTTTATCAAGCAAAGCAAGACACATTTTACCACAATTCAGAACTCACTTTATTTGTGTGAAACACGGTTTCCTCCTGTAGCTATTGTGAAAACAAAAATCTCAGTTTTGAATATCTGAAAAAAGAATTCCCAATAGCACCACATTTTAAGAAGCTTTGCACAGAAAAACAAGGCATTCCATCATATTAAAATATTGCTATGCTGATTATTTTTATAAGTTATAAATATAAACATTACATATTTATGGATGAATAAATAACTTTAATTATTTGCATTTTATTTTAGATTTGCACATTACAAAATTTTAATAAACTATCCATTTTAAAAAAATAAAACTATTTACATAGATGATTTTGTGAAAAGGGGGTATGTGTGTGTGAAAATTGTCTTATAAAAAAGTATATATTGTTGGCCAAAAGTCATGACTTTGTAAGACATGGGTAGTAACTTGATTTATTACAAAGAGAAAGGCACATGTATGTGGGAACTTCTAATACAAACACATGCATGCATATGTGCGTATATATTATTTGTACATAGTTGTCTGCATGCTGTCTCCCTTTTATCCTGTGAGGTCCTTGAAGGTTGGGGATGTTAGCTTTTGTGGGGGGGTTTTTGGTGTTCTTTTTTTTTGTTTGTTTTTGTTTTTTGCTTTTCTTTCTATCCTTAGTGCTTAGTGACTTAGTACAGTGACTGGTAAGTAGCAGGTGCTTAATAAATGCTCACGGATTGATTGGGTTCATCCATAAAACAAGGGCTTTTGACCTAGTGGTTTGCAAAGTTAAATTTGGCTCTACAAAACTCTCTGAAAAAGTATTTCCACGGCACTGTTTTCACAACCAGCCTGGGAGGTCTAGAGTGGAAGTCTTCTTGTCCCCATTTTACAGATGAGGAAACAGAACAAGACAGGTTGGTTGACTTGCCCTACAACATTTAGTGAATAAGGGGCAAAGCTAGAATTTGATCTTAGGTCTCCAACTCCACATTCAAATGAAACAGCTGAGAATGTCGGTCCCTGAGAAGGAGAGGCTTGGGGAAAGGTGGAGGTGGGAGCGGAATGGGTAGGCAGAAAGGCCCCAGAGAACAGGGCTGGGGGCAGATTTTAGCCCCCTGTAGCCTATCCATTCCTGCTGTCCAAAAGTGGACCAAGTGGCCTTGGGTGCTGGAAACAACCCCCCGGGAGGCGGTCAAGCTCAGACACAAGCCCCCACGTGGAGGGTATGAGAGGAGGCTGGCTCTTGGTCAGAGGCTGGCCAGGGCTCCAGGCCCCTTCCAGCTCTGCAGCTTCTCAGTGGGCAATCAGGCCAGGCCTCTCTGTGAAGCATCAGCTCTTTTGGCTGTTGGGTCACCATGCTGACCCGGGGACTAGGTAGGCCACAAAACAGTCATTGTTCCTTCTTCAGAGTTAGTGATCCAAGCCATCTTCCTTACTGGTTCTCCCTCCAGATGAATGCATGAATGATGCACTTATTAAGAGCTTACTATTTGCAACATACAAACAGAACTAGAAGCTGGTCCCTGCCCTCAAAGAGCTCACATTCTAATGGGGATGGGGAGAGACAACATGGAAGGCTTCAGCCACAGGTCAGAAGGAAAGGTCCCATGGTCCCTAGGGTGCAGGGGCAAAGCAGATGGTAGAGGCGCTTCATTAACGCCATTCCCACTGATAAAGGCACAGCAGTTTCCTGGTTTTGAACCATGCACTGGGCTAGAAGCACCAAGTGAGGGTCCTGGGCTGTCTCCATCCCAGTGTCTGGCACACAGTAGGTGCTCAATAGATGTTCAAGGATTGATCGATTGATTATTGAGATGGTGGTGGCACTTCCTGTCTGAGCTAGGCCAGTGCTGTGAGTGGCAGCTGTATGGCACTGATGCCTTTACACAGATGGCATATTTTCATGCCTATATCCCACGTGCAGGAAGTAACCAAGGGAAAAGAGCGTTGAGCTGGGGGCGGGGAGGCTCAGGCCACCAGAATTCCACTCCTGCCATGAATTTGACTGGGTGACCTTGGACAAGTAATTTCTCTCTGGGCGTGAGTTTCCACATCAGTAAAATGTGACTGGGCTGGACGGTATGTAAGCTCCAATTCAGCCCTAACATTCTATGATTTGGACATTTCTAAATGGGATACAGTCCAGAGATGACAGGGCTTGGAATGGAAAGGAGGCGGAGTGAATTGGATTCTCTCCATCCCACTCAGCCCTTCAAAAGATCCGTCTTTCTCCGCTTCCCCGCCCTGAGATGGCTGAGATTGATTCGGCCCAATCAGCAATGAGCATGAGCCCTCATCTCTCCATTTCCCCGCCCCCTTTGGCGCCCCCCCCCCCGCCTTAATCTTCCCTCCCGGCTTCAGAATTTCCCGCCAACACCCCTCCCCCAGCCCGCGCAGAAGCAGCCAATGAGAGCCTGCGGCGCGCTTATCTGCCGCTCGCACTTCTTCTGGGCCGAACTAATTCTGAATTAAGGGGAGATTTTACTGGAGCCTTTCCCAAACCCACCTGTAGGGGCTAGTTTGCCTCCCTAGACATCGGCCTGCCTTTTTTATGTTCTGTTTGTGCCCCGGCGTTTATTCTAAATTCCCTCGTCCTCTTTCCTGGATCGAGACTTACCGCTTCCTTTTCCCGACTTCCCTCCTCCCCGCGTCCACGCTCCAATGGTTCGCCCCAGGCTCGCGAGAGGCGTTGGCGGGAGTGGGGGAGGGGTGGGGGGCAGACAGCTTATAAAAAGCTGTTGGAGGCAGTCGCCCATCGCGCGCGAAATCAGTCTGCGCCGGTGCAGGGTAGTGAAAGCATCTCCTCAGCTCGACGCTGGTGAAGGAAACGTCTAGACCGGGCTTCTCCTATTCTCGTCAGATCTCGCCACTGCCTCCGCCGCACACCTTACAATGGATTGCCGGCAGCGCAGTCCTCACAGTGCCGGGACGAGCCCAGGGAATAGCTGCTGGGGCAGCGACAGCGGGTAAGTCGGCTGAGGACCGTCGGCCCACCTCGGCCGTCAAGTGTTCGGGCTAGCGGCGGGCCCAGGCCGTACTGCGCCTGCGCGGCAGCCCCGGCTCCACCTTCCTGCCCCCCGGGATGGGGGTGGCGGGAAAAGACCCCGGTCAGACTCTTTCACACCGGGAAGGGTGCGGGTTAGGAAGGGGCCAAGGGTGGGACTTGGGGCCTCTTGGGATAAGGAGTTTGGCCATTTCGTCCCCTTCCCTGTAAGAACTAGTATCTGAATTGGAACTTCGTGAGGTCCTCGTTGTGGCCTACACTGCCCATTTTACCTAGAGGCCCCAGGTAATAGGTGCCCTCCAGACCCCTCATCCGGTGCTCTTGCCTTTATGAAGAAGAGGAAATGGAGGCCCGCAGGGGGGAGGGGCTGGCAATGGCGTGTGGATAGAGCCGGGACTCTAACCCTGGTCCTTAAAATGCTGTTAGCCCTGTCCTTCAATTGCCAGTAATAACTAGGCTTCGTGCTGAGTGAATGAGATGCAGAGGGGGGAAAAACTCAAGAGTGTTGTTCACGAGTGTTAGGAACTGCTGCGTGCTTTGTAATACTACCCCTTCCAAAAGGAAAAAGTGGATTTGGATTCAGAGGACCTGGGCGCTCTTACTAGCGTGACCTCGGGCAAGTCACTTTTCTAGGCGTAATCACCAGGGCTGGAATTAGAATCCTGTGTTCCTGAGAATCTATTTTCCATTGTTCTAGTTGTATTTCTCTCATCTCTAAAGTAAATAATTTTGATTAATTGGCAGAGCTGGAATTAGAATCCTGTGTTCCTGAAAATGTGCTTTCCATTGCACCAGTCTGCTTCTTTCATTTGCACTACACCCCCCACCACCCATAAAGGGTGAAGGATTTTTGCACTCAGCCATTTTACAGATGGAAAAATGTGGGAGGAGAAATGGTTTGCCCAAGGTCACACAAAGTTAGAATAACTAGAACCTAGGCCTCCTGACCTCATTCTTCCTACTAGTAAGTAGCTGAATGTTCTTGTTGCTTTATCACTTGATCTGGGTCCTGAGGTTGAAAGGGGATATGTGAACATCTAGGAACCAAGAAGTAGTTTCTACCAAAAGAATGTGCTTCCTTCCATGTGTGCCTCAAGTTCAGTTATTAAGCCCAAAAGCCTAACCTTATAGAAATTTTAGGGTTGGAAGGGATACTTCCCTCGAATCTACTTCTACTCGAATCTGTGCTCATTTCTTTTATCTTAAGAGAACAAGGAAACAGAAACTGAAACCCAGAACAGTGAATTGGCTGTAATCCAAAGCCACATTGAGCTAGGATTAGAACCTTGTTCTTCTGCCTCCTGCTCTAGTACTTTTGCTTTTATCTAATCTCCAAAGCACCTCATAATTTAGAACAGGTTAGCAAGTAAATCTAACTTTTTTTCCTCATACTTAGCACACTTTCTCCATCCCGGTGGTCTCTTGGACGCAAAAGACGTTTGGATGGAAGGCACAGAAAGCCAGATGTTGATTCATCTCTATTTGTTGAAGATGAGACCAAATCTAAACACGCAGAAGAAAGTGAAGGTCAAAATTCAGACAACAGGCTTGAGAGGTATGATACTTGGCAGAAACATACTTTGCCATGTGACGCGACATTTCTTTGTGCAAGTTGTGACTGACGATCATGAGAGTTTTGTAGTTTTGTGACAGTTGTGTGGCCAGATCAAAATTATTTATTATTTGAGCACATTTTTGGGAAATGAGACACATAGAATGGTAGGCCAGTACGGCAGAATGTGATAGCTGAAAAGATGATATCTAGGCTCTGGAAAAACTTGAGGAGGGGAAACTTTATAGTTCTATTTTTACTAATTGGTCTTCATTTGATGAAAAAATTGTATGCCTTATTTACTTGGCATATTCAGAACAAACCTTATTCTCTTTCCATTTCCTAGAGTATTTGCTTTGTACTTAGGGAAAAGGTGCTAGGATTTGGGAGCTGTACTTGAACACATCTAGTCCTACTTGAAGTTCGGAAGTTTGAACCTTTGTACATATTTGCATACTATGACAAATGTATAGAATTGGGATTTAAACTTGGTTAGAAATGTGTGATCCCTATTCATATAGAGACCCAGAGAAGTTAAGTCAAATTTGCCCCTGTGGGAACACTAGTGAGACTGGATCCAGTAAGGGTCATTCTGATTTGAACCTATTTTAGAATCTGTGTTCCCTGTTGCCCTTGGCATATTCATTAGTAACCTTGACCTAATAAGGTAATATATTATATCATGCCTTGTGTTTTTATATTCGCTGGATCCGTAATGTCATTCATGTGGGTATTCTTGCCAACAATGCATATTGCATCACATCTCTGCCTGCCTTTCTGTGCTGATTCTGTCCAGGTCTTTCCATAAGCTTGCCGCGTATTAGGACCTTTTAGCATTTCCAAAAATATATATTTTGGACAAATTTGTTAAAAAAACAAAACACCTAAATTTAGATTGCAGGAAAATGTCTAGGCTCTTGATTATGCATGAAAAAAAATCTTGACATCTCTGGGTTGTTTTATTTGATTAATTTAATAAATTTTGCTATCTAATGTAAATTTTAACAAAAAGCACTTTGAAGTTTACAATAGTTAAGAAAATGGGTACAGAATCCTCCAAGTTTTAAAATGATTGAACTTCTTGTTCATTTATTTGTATTGCTAAACCCAGAATTGCCTATTAAGAATTTACTGGGAGCAAGTTAGGTGGTGCAGTGGATAGAGCACTGGCCCTGGAGTCAGGAGCACCTGAGTTCAGATCTGGCCTCAGACACTTGACACTTACTAGCAGTGTAACCCTGGGCAAGTCACTTAACCCCATTGCCTAACAGAAAACAGACAAAAAATATACTGTAGACATTGAGACAATGATAAGACGGTTGATAAAACTGGGAGTTGGGTTTATGTCTGTGGTTTGGTTTTCAGTTAGCTTTTTAGAAGATGTGAACATTTTTTTCTCTAAGATTGAGCCATAGAATCTTGATGTTTCAAGAAATGTTTGAAACAGAAATGGTGTTAGCCTGTTTGGTAATAATAATAGCTAGCTTTTATTAGTGCTTTAAGATTTGTAAAGTACTTTGCAAATATAATTCTTTTCATTTGAGCCTCACAATTATCCTGGGAGGTAAGTGCTGTTATTATCCCCATTTTACAGATGAGGAAACTGGGGCAGACTGAGATTAAGTGACTTGCCCAGGGTTACCTAGCTAGCAAAGTAAATAAGTGTCTGAGAACAGATTTGGACTTGAGTCTTCCAGACTCCATGTTCTTACCTTCTATCCACTTCCTCCACCTAGCTACCTCTGTTTGCAACTTGTACTCACTTTCAACAAGAAAGTTTTGGGCACTGTTAAACACAGTATTAATTGTATTACTGTCATAATAAACTGTCTGACATTGTAGTGGGCTATATGAAATTACTAACAGAAACAAACTTTTTAATGTTCTTTATGATGTAGAGAAGAAGGTTGTGCTGCTTGTGATATGGTTGGGTCATTTTTTAGGCATTGCAGAAATTGGTAGAAATGGACTGAATAATTAAATTTGCCTTTTTCTTTTCTTTTTATGTTTATTATATGACCAAAAATTATTGGGCTAATTTTAAAAATAACAGTATCTTAAATTATTTTCTAAACGAGTTTTCAATAATTTGATCCATAATATTTCTTAATCTTTACATGGAGCAATGTGGTAGTTGTGATTTGTGTTTGAAATAGACTAGGATAATTTTTCATTTGAATGAGACCTTAAAAGGCAAGATAGAATACTTTTTAATGTCTACTTTAACCTGTGTTTATTGTTCCTTTTTGCAGGCAGCAGTATTGAAAAGAGTATTTTTAGTCATTAGTAATAACTTCTTACTTTAAAACAGTACATGATTATCTTTTGTTCGTTTTGGGGTTGTTGTTTTTTTTGTTTGTTTTTTGGTGAGGCAATGGGGTGAAGTGACTTGCCCAGGATCAGACATCTAGCAATTCTCAAGTGTCTGAGGCCAGATTTGAACTCAGGTCTTCCTGATTCCTAGGCTGATAACCTATCCACTGTGCCATCTAGCTGCCCCATGTACTTGATTCTCATAACTCTGTGGGGTAGGTACTATTATTAGCTCTATTATAACAGATGAGGAAACTGAGGCTCAGAATTTATCTGCACAGGGTCACAGAGCTGTGTCTGGGACAGGATTCAAACTTGGATTTCCCTGACTCCACCATCATCCACTATATTTTATTGCCAAAAACAAAACATGGTTGCAGTGTCTTACACTGAAATATGATCTTTATTTTTCTTTGAGCTGTATTCCTAAGAACTAACAAAGTAGACCTTCCCCCATAGGAAATCCTCTGTCATTAGCCAGTGTTATAAAATGTAACTACAAATTTCTAAAGTTTGAAATAGAAAAATTATGCTATAAAATGAAAACTCTACATTATTTCTACATAAAGTTACCTCCAAATTACATAAAGAATGGATATATACTGCATAAAAGATAGAAGCTCTACTGTATCATAGTTTAGCCTAAAATTAACCTGTCATTTAAAATAAATGTTAAGTATTGATTAAATTTTTCTTGCCTTAAAATTTGCAAGAGATTTTGTGGGAAATTTAAAGAATTTAAAATTGATGCCTATTTCTATTGATAATTACATTTTTAAAATAATTTTATTTATAGAGATATGCTATGTTTTTTAATACATAAGCATTTATTAAATCCTTGCTTTGTGTCTAGTAATATGCTAAGTGCTAAAGATAAAAAGAAAAAAACAAACCACTGATCCCTACCTTCAAAGAGCTTACATTCTAATCAAGGAGACAACAAACATTATTGATACCCACAAGATAAATACAGAGTGAATGGATAGCTGCCTTAGAAGGGAAGGCACTAGCACCTGGGGGAACCAGGAAAGACCTCTTGTCAGAGGGAGCTGAGTTTTAAAGGAAGTCAGAGGTTTAGAAGGCAAAGGGTAGGAAGGTAGAGCTTTCCCCGAATGGGAGATAGTTTGAAGGCAAGAGAAAGGGCATGGAGGGATAAGTACACCAGTTTGACTTGACCATACCAGTGTGTAGGGGGGGGGAGTAATATGTTAAAGGACAAGAAAGATAAAAAGAAGCCGGGTTGTGAAGAGCTTTAAATTCTATAAAAGACCTCATTTGATCTTAGAGGTAATAAGGAGCCCCAGGACTTTGAGTAAGGTAATGACATGGTCAGACTTATATCCCCTTTTTTCCCCAATACGTCTTTTCCTCTTTACCTTTTTAATAAAGAATAAGAAAAATAACAGTTCAGCAAAACATATTACACTGTGTGTCACACACAGTCTCCCACTTCTACAAAGAAAATTGGTCTTATGAAAATGTAAAAAGAAAACCTAAAGAAAAAGAGTGAGGAATGTAGGCTGAGAAATAACAAAATTTGTCCGTTAAGAGATCATTGGTAACTTGGCAAGCCGCTTCGGTTGAGTAATGAGGTTGGAAGGCAAATTGCAAATTGTTGAGGCGCAAGACGAAGGAAGTAGAGGCAGTGAGTTTAAGCAGCTTTTTTGAAGAGTTTGGCTAGAAAGATGAGTAAAGAGGTAAATAGCTTGGGGGAAATGGTAGGATTGAATGAAAGACTTAAGGATGGAAGATAATTGGGCATATTTAGAGGCTTTAGGGAAAGAAACAGGCAAATTAATTGCAATTGAGGGTAGTACTTGAGGGGGCAATTTGATGGAGAAAGGTGGGGGGTGGGTCAGGGAATTGGGAGACTTGGCTAGTTCTCTGAATTCTTCAGAGAAAAACAATAGGACGTTGAATCAATGTAGAGAGAAGAAAGCAGAACCAGAAGAATAATACAATGACTCTAACAATATATAATGGAAAGATACCTAAACTGAATTCTGTAATTAATGACCAAGCTTGTTGCTGAAAAAAGATCAGAAAATTATTTATTCGAGATAATTGTTTCTTACAGTACACTTTTATTTCATGACATTTGTGTAACACTTTAGCCATTCCCTATCTTTGTTTTCAGTTTTTTGCTACCTTAAAGGTGCTTTTATAAAATTTAGGTATATTTGGGACCCTTTTGTTTTGTTCTTGGGATATATGTATGGAAGTGGAATCTCTGCCAGGCCATCTTTTTAAAGGATGCATGCCCTCCTTTATACCACCTGTCTTTCATGGTTCCTTATTAACAATGTATTGAAGCCTGTTCACGGGGATCAATTATCTACATGTAAACCCACAAATTGTTACTAAATTTAAAAATTCACTATTTTATCTGAACTGTACATTTGCATTTTGCTGAACTAGTCTTAAAAAGTAAACTGGAGATAATCATCTAAATGTGTGAATTTTGGCAGTTTACTTTTGTCATTGAATTTTTTTGCAGTTTTACAACACCAGAAGGCCCCAAACCTCGTTCAAGATGTACAGACTGGGGAAGTGTAGTTGAAGAGGATGAAATGAGAACCAAAGTGAATAAAGAAATAGCAAGGTACTTAATTATATCGACTTCTAACTCTTTGCTTATTAATTTGATCGTCTACATTCTTCAAGCTATTCATTTTTTTCTTTAGGTATATTCTAGCCTATGGTAGTTTAACTTGAAAAGGTAATGCATTAATGATATTCCTGGCTAGAACATAGAATATTAGGTAGTTCTTTGAGGTACAGAAAGGTTTGGTACTTTCAGCAGTAGGGAGTTTTCAAACTGTTTATACCATGTGCCACAATAATTAATAATGCATATAAAACTTAAGTAAAACATTACCAAGTGACATTGTCATTAATTTTAATTATTTCCCCCTTCTGGTATGAAGTAGAATCCAGTTAAGTGAAATTAGAATTAAATTATCATTTCATTTAAGATTATCCAAAAAAAGTTTTAAGCCTTGAATTTGTTGAAATTTAGAGAAGCATTTGGATTTGCCAGAGTCTTTTGTTTAAACATTATTCTAGGTACTATTTTGGACTCCTTAGACTTTTAAATTTTGGTAGCACTTAAATTTGCCATAGAATTTTGCTTCCTAAATTGATGGAGTGTAAATATAGTGTCTTCATGAGAACTAGTTTATGGTTATTAATAAGCATTTATTTATGAATTAAGAGCTCACCATGTTGGACAGATGCAGCATAAATAAAAATATTTTCTTGAGCTTGTTAGATTACACTCTGCATTTTTATTATAAAAGAAAGTGGTCCTGCCTAGAAGTCAGGAAAACTAGATTTCTAACCTAGTTCAGTTCTGCAACTTGAGCTGTTAAACCTCTCTGGGCCTTATCTGTAAAGTCTGTTGTAACTCCAGGAATGAAATTAGATTCATAAAGGGTGGTTTTTTTTTTTTAATTAAATATCACATGAGAATAGTAAGCATAATAGGAATTTCTGTTACAGATACAAAAGAAAACTTCTCATAAATGAATTTGGAAGAGAAAGAAAGTCATCTTCTGGAAGGTGAGTAACATTTAATACTTTTAATTTTGTATGTCTGTTAAAGATACTTGTGAAAAACCAAAAAGTATGAATACTGTAAAGAAATCTAGTATGAACTTTATGAAATTATGCAAAGGAAAAGCTTAACCAAGAAAGTACCTCATAACCACAAACTATATTATGGAGAAGTCAATGGGAATGAATGGAAGAAACTTGAGACAGTTGATGGATGCCTAATGGGAATGACTTGATAAGCTGAAATTTTATATGTTGCAATTCATTTATTTAAATATAAATATTTTCAAAGCAAGGTTATTTGGCTCTTCTGTGGCTATTTGATTGCCATTTTGAATGTTCAGTAAAATTATGAAAATGTTAATATCTGTTAAATAGACTTTAATATACCCTTTGACATCTCTGAAAATATCATAATCTTTTTATGTTGTTTAGTTCTGATTCAAAAGAATCAACATCTACAGCACCAGCAGAACTAGAAACGGATGAAAATGTTCTGATGAGGAGACAAAAACAGATAAATTATGGAAAGAATACCATTGCCTATGATCGATATATTAAAGAAGTGCCAAGGTAGATTTTCATTTGTGTGAATGACAGGCTTTTAAGTGAAATATCTTATAAGTCACTTCCTTTTGTTAAAAAAAAAATTTCATTTATACCACTTATTTCTGAATATATGTCCCCTGTCCCATCCATTAAACATCTCTTTGTAACAGAAAAAATAAAGCTTGTGTTTTAAGGACCATATTAAACCTTCGAAGAACTATTAGCCAAGGAGGACTTGTTCAGTTTATTGCCATGAGTATGTGGTGATTTAGAGATTGTTATGGGAATCTTCATTATAATAGAGAAAAGAAGTATAGAACATATGGCGTAGGGTGGTCCTCTGATGACCATGGATCAGCAGAAGATCACTTGGGAGGTTTCTGGCAAATAGACTGATATTGATTGCAGTAATGGCTGAATTCCTGGGGAGATGTTGGGAAGGAGACTCTAGAGTCAAGATGAGAAATGAAAGCTAGGACTTTTAATTTATCTTGGCCTGTTCGTGGAACTAGGATGAAAGAAAGTAGGGCGCTGAACGAAGAAAGTTGTAGTAGAAACTTGAGATAGAAATAGAAAAATAAAAATAGAATCTACCTAACCAGATTGAAACATGGTTGGGGAATATTAAGCAAAATAAATAAAAATGTAGTAAGATAATATTACATTATAATATATAATAGATAACTGTGTGTGTACAATAGATAATACATTTTAAAATTCTGTATGAATCCACACCCAGAGAAAGAAATACGGAGTCTGAATGCAGATTGAAGCATACTATTTGCCTCCCTTTTCCTTTATTGTTTTGTTTTATTGCTTCATTCTTGTGGCTTCTCCCATTAGTTCTAATTGTTCTTTACATCATGACTAATGGGAAAATATGCTTAACCTGAATGTATATATAGAACCTACATCAGATTGTACGCTGTCCCAGGGTGGGGGGAGAAAATTTAAAACTCAAAATCTTATGGAAGTGAATGTTGAAAACTAAAAATAAATAAACTAAAAACAATAAAATTCTGTATGAGGCTGGCATGGGAAAAAAAATAGAATCTGAAGGTGACCAAAGAAGTCATGCCCTTGAGAGGACAGGGTGGGAGTGCAGGATACCAGTAAATTGTATTGAAGCCAGTGACTAGTTTTCACTCAAACAAAGGACCTTTGTTTGGTCTGTTGTGGTTTTTATAGGTAGGTATACTGGCCCATGTTGAACCAGCTGGCTTCAGTGTTACAAAAATGTAATTTTGTTTTTCAATAATAGGGAATGTCATCTTATAACTTGATATATTAGGACTTGATGTTTTTAATAGATTGCCAAAGAATTTAGATGTCGAATATAATCCAAAGAAATGTCCAGCTTAATTTTAAATAGTAACATCCTGTGATGGGTTTTTTTAATAAATTAAGCAAAATCTCAGTTTTTGAAAACCCAGTCTCATTAAAATCTTAGATTTCATAATTCGTAGTGAGAATCATATGGAAACATAGGAGGTATGATTCTTTAGACTAATGGGTGTACTCTTCCGATTAATACAGGCATCTTAGACAACCTGGAATTCATCCCAAGACTCCAAACAAATTTAAGAAGTACAGTAGGCGATCATGGGACCAGCAAATCAAACTGTGGAAGGTTGCTTTACATTTTTGGGATCCTCCAGCTGAGGAAGGCTGTAACTTACAAGAAATGTATGTAGAAGTTAGGACTTCTTTTTCTCTGTATTATTTAAGTATATGTTCCCCAAGTAGACCATATGTGCTTATTGGCATAAGTTGTATATATGGTTCTGTGACCCATAAAATGGTGTTCTTCAGATCTTCCCATTGGAACAATTCAATGAATACTTATTTCCTTGATGTATAGGGCATGTAGCAGGTTGTCTCCTCCCTGGGAGCAGTCTAGAGTAACAATAGCAAACTCTTAATTAAGCTCTGTTGTACATAAAAGTTGTCTCTAATAAGTAGGCAGAATATACTAGCTTGGTGGGGTTATCGGTTGTATTTTTACTCCTCTCACCCCCTCTTCTGCAACCAGGAAGGATTTTGCCTGAGCAGAATATATTGTGCTTGCATTAAAATCTAAAGCCTGCATCCCTATGTCCCATGTGCTTCTCTTATAACATGTTTCTCAAAGTGAGAATGTCACCTAACATTAAAAGACCATTTTAATGTTCAGTATTATGCATGTTATTTATGAAAGCTTCCCTGTATTAAAATGGTATTGAGTTAAATGTAATAAAATTCATTTCAAGCACTAGAAAACAACCAGTCCAGTTTTTTAAATGACATACAATAATTCTGTTATTTATAACTTGATCAGCCAGTGAGAAAGTGACAGTCTTCTAGATAAATACTGACATAAAAATAACATTGAACTGCCTTTAAAACTTTTTAAACTTTTTTTAACTACTACTACCCCAGCACATTTACATTGTACTTGAAATTTATGAAGTAATTTACTTGCATCAACTCTGCAAGTTAGGTAGTACAAGCATTATCTTCATTTTGCTAGTGAGGAAACTTAGGACATGCAACTTTTTCAAATTCTTTAGAACACTAGACTGGGGAAGTCTGCAGAGACATATGGTTTTTACTGGAGACACTCACCAACAAGAGACCTTCCCAGCATCAGATTTCTTTCAGCACTATGTTAAGCAACTCGTTGATGTCATTTGCATGTTGCTTTAACAGCACCCCAGTAGATATCGGTGAAATGGAGACTGAATCTGCCAAAAGTAGTTCTGAATCACAAACAAGCTCTCAGGATAACTATGTGAGTACTGGGGTTTTGTTTTTCTTTTCTACCTTCTATTTAGCTTCCATGCAGTTTGGCTCATTTTAAGTAGTTATGTAAAATGTGCTTGGTTTGAATGTGACACTAGAGAATAAGGACTGCACTATAAAACTTGAGGCTTAGTCCTGGGATTGGGTATATTAAATCTCTTGTGTACTGACCATAATTTTGGCATGCATACTGTAGAGACATTATAAAAGAAAATAATGCAGTGAATATTTAAGTAACCCTCATGTCAGCCAGACTAGTCATACTTTTAAGTGTTTCATAACTACTTTTTACTACATCTCTAAGTTACATTCTGTGACAGGATTACCACAGAATAGGTGGTACAATGAAAGGAGGGTCTTGGTCCTAATCTTAGTTCTGTTGCTAGCTGTTATTTGTCACAGTCTTATAACTTCTGGGTCTCTTGTTTTCCCACCTGAAAAATACAGGGTTTTAAACTAGGTAACATGAATACTGAGTCTATATTATGAATACAAAATTCAGCTTTGATTTGGTGGACTCATCCAACAGTTTGTAAGGTGTGCAGGAATTCATTGTGATTGGAAACAGTGAAAATAATAAAAGGATAATTTAAGTAAACTGGAAGAAGATTAGGACCAAAAAATGGGGACTGAGGCCTGGAAGAACAGTTGAAAGACTAGGCTTAAGTTAGTGTAAGCAAAACTTAGGGACTAAGTGCTGGAAGAGGGAAAAAGAATTAAATAGAGGAAAATAAAAGCATAACACAACACCTTACTTGTGAATAAGTAATCAGACCCCAACAATTTATGTATACAAGAAACTTTCTTTGAAATAGTCACAGATGAAAATGAGGATCTAGAACAAAACTTACTCTGCATCAAGATACTTTTTAAAAGCATGAGTTGAAATTGTTATGTAAGACAAAGAAACAAATTCAGTGTCGAGAAAAATAAATTATTGTGCTGTCATTGTAGACCATGAAGGGATAATGATATTAAGTATATGCAACAAATGCATAATATGTAAGATCATAGAGGAAAAACTAGCCTAGTTGTAAAAAGATAATAGCAGGACAAGAATTATAGGAGACTTTAATATTCCTTTCACAGTTTTCAGGATGAACTTGGGAATGATAAAGGAAAACAGTTGACTATTGAAAAAAAACTAATTTGAAAGATTAAGGCATCATTTGAATGAGAATATTGAGATTAAACATTCTTTTCAGAACATAACTCAGCTAAAATAGTAATTAATATAAGCGAATTAATACATGATACAGATAATGGTACAGGTGGCACAGTGGATAGAGTGCTGGCCCTGGAGTCAGGAAAACTCATCTTACTGAGTTCAAATCTGGTGTAAGACACTAACTGCATGACCCTGGGCAAAACACATAACCCTGTTTGCCTCAGTTTCCTTATCTATAAAATGAGCTGGAGAAGGAAATGGCAAACCAATATCTTTTCCAAGAAAATCCCAAATGGCGTCACAGAGAGTTAGATACTACTGAAATAACTGAACAACATCTGCATGAACAGTAAGTCATTTCCAAATGAGTAAGCGAAAAAGCACATTTTAAAAATACGTATTGTAGATGTATTTTGCTTCTTATATTGTCTAAGTTACCCTCTGTATCCTTCCAATTCCTCCCCCTCACCCTGAGAGTCATCTCTTATAACAAAGAATTTAAAATTTTAAAAGAGGAAGAAAAAACATAGGCACAAATGATCAATATAGTGAGAAAAATCTGACAATATATTAATGTTTCACATCTGTAAAAGGATGGTGGGAAAGTATTGAATTAGAAATAGGTAAAATCAAAAATGAAGGCTAGAAATGATAAAATTAAGAACTAGATTTTTAAAAATTAAATGATAAATCATTAGTTAATAGTATAAAATGAAAATAAAATTACCAAAATGAAACAAACTAAGATGAATTCACAGCAGGAAGTAAAAGGAATTGTCAGAAATGAGTGTATATGATTGTGGGCCATCAAACTGAATTTAAGTAGATAATTAATGTGAAATAAGCTAAATGAACAAAATAAATAGAAATCTTAGCCTAAAAACATAAAGAAATTAATCGCATAAATAAGAGATACACAGTGGTCTAGGCAGATTTGTAAGTGAATTTTGGCAGATGTTTCAAGAATAGTTAATACTTGTGCTACAAAAATTATTTTCAATAATAGAGAACAAATGCATTCTACAAACAACTTTATGAAGCAAATATGGTCCACATGCCTAAAGTTTAGAGAACTATTCACTTAATGATTATATTGAATCTATGCTAGGCATTTAAGGATAAAAAGGATTAAGGATAAAAAAATTCTAGCCACCTTCCCTCTGCCAACCTGAATTAATAGATAAATCCTGTGGAGTTGCCTGCAGTAGGAGAGAGGTTAAGTATTTTCGCCCAGACTGTTCATCTTCAGAGCTGGGATTTGAACCATGTTCTTCCTAACCTAACTTTCAGCTCACTGCCTCTTAAAAATCATGATTTGGGGGGGGGGGGGGAACTAGGCAGTGGGGTTAAGTGACTTGCCCAGGATCACACAGCTAGTAAGTGTTATGTATGAACTCGGATTCTCCTGAATCCAGGGCCAGTGCTCTATCCACTGCGCCATCTAGCTGCCCCCATGATTCGTTTTTAAAAACATTTTTGTCATGAGTTCTAAAAATCATGAGAATGAAAGGGCCCTTTGATGAGATGTCTATATCTAAAACCAACAGCCAGCATTGTTTACTGGAGAGTAACATGGGAAACTTTGTCTAGCAGATGTATTGGATGAAACAGAATGTCCTCTTTCCCCGGCACAATTCACCAGGATTCTGCGAGAAATCCTGGCAATATCATTGTGCGTGTGTGGCTTTCACAAGTACAAAAAGTGCTATTTCTGCTGACTGATTTATGATTGGAGGAGACAGTGTATAGACAATGAAGAGAACACTAACCGTCTCTGTAGTTGGAACCTGGGTTTAAGTCCCATTTTACCACCATTGTGACTTTCCACATCTCTGTATTTGCTCAGGCTCATTTTTCTTACCAAAGATATCCTGTTGGACTGAATATTACTCTTTTAATTTATTTTTAGTTTTCAGCATTCACTTTTGTAAGATTTTGAGTTCAAAAATTTTTCCCCTCCTCCCTCTTCAAGAGGGCATGTAATCTGATATAGGCTATACATAAATATTACTTTCAAATTCCTTTTAGTCAAACTGCCAAGGGGTTACTTTATTCAAAATAATAAAGTCCACATGTATAACCTCTGTGAAATTGCTTGCCTTCTCAGTGTGGAGTGAAGGGGGGGGAGAAAATTTTAAAAAAGAATGTTAAAATTGTTTTCACATGTAATTGGGGGGGAAAATACTAATTTTTTTAAAAGAGTGTGTGTCAACAACATAATGAAGGCCAAGCAGTTGGACACGCTATTACAGTGTTTGATAAACCCAAGAACATAAAGTACTTGAGAGAGTTTTAGTCTACAAAAGCTCTTCCAAACCTGGAATTCAGTCCACTTTATCCCCAGCTGCTGGTTAAAGTCTGATAAGTGGTAAGAGGATATAAACAGTTTGCAAAAGAATAACTATCAACAATTATAGAACTATCAACAGCTTTATGAAAAACTAGAACCACAAATTAAGTTTCACTTTACAAATCAATGAAATTTGCAAAGATCATAAACATTAAGAAACAGTCAATGTTGGAAGGACTGTAGGAAGATAGGCAAGCTGTGAATTGGTTCAATAATTTTGGAAAGTTGTTTGGAATTCTCTAAAAGAGGTCACCAGAGTGTAATAACTGTTGACTGGAGATATCCCAAGACATTCAAAGTCAAATTTTCTTCCACCAAAACATTCATAGCACTTTTAGGAGGAGCAAAACCAGGTACGATGTAGGTACTGATACCCACTAATTAGTAAACTACTGGGGAAAGTATATAATGAAATATTGTATTATTAATGACAAATATGAGAATATAAGACATGGGAAGAGATGCAGTGGAAACTAAGCAGAACCAAAATAAGATACATAATGAGTACAATGTGAATAAGTTTGGCTCTGAAAAGCAACTGAACTCTCATTAATTACAGCAATCAGTCTTGGCCCAGGAGAACAGATGATGAAATACACTTTCCTCTTGAGATTTGGGTGGGCACTGTGGGCATGGAATGTTGCATACGCCATTAAGTACAAAGTTGGCTTTGCTAATTTTTTTTTTCTATGTTGCAAGGGGAAAAGAGGGTTTGTTAGGAATAGGTGACATTCTCTGTGGAAAAGAGACTATAATTGAGTCTCCTGGGATTCCCTAAAGTGAATCTTCTATTTTTGTGTTTGACCAGTGGTAATTAAATGTATACTGAAATGAGTACTTACATTTGTTTCCTCCAGTGTCACTGGAGCCACTGTTAAGTGGCTTTTAAAGCCCTTGACAATCTGGCCTCAACTTTAAAACTGCATTAATGTAAGTGCTCTCGCTGGCTTGCTGTTCCTCTCATGGCACTACGTCTCTAGTCTCTACCTTCTCCCTGGTTGTCCTTCCATATATGGAGCATGGTCTCCTTAGGACTGAGACTGGCACTTCAGCCTCTTCTTTTCCCCTTTGGGTTGTTGTGAGGCTGCTAGTTTCCATGGAGTCCTGGTTTGTCCCTTTTTTAGCTCCTTGCTTCCTAAGTGAACTGCACATCTTGGCAGCTCTTAGTGTGCCATTGCTAGCTTTCCATAAGGCTCCTTAAAGGGATCTTCAGAGCTACAATAGCGATAGGACTGAATAGAAAGGCCCCACTATGACCTCTCTAGCCCTTTAGAAATTTGTTCCATGGTAGAAGGTTGTTCCATCTTGGAAAGGCTTCCCATTTGGACCACATGATGAGTTGTCCAGTCTTGGGAGAAATAGCCACATTGGGAGAAGTTGACCATTGGGTTGTCTGCAGGGTAGGGTGGTGAATACTTTAGCTATGACAACTCTGGTAAGGCAATTTTTAGTAGGCTAGGGTTAAGTATCAGGGGAGGAAGTAATTACTTAACAGTAAATTCCAGATCTTTAAAGTACTCAATAACATGGGGGGAGGGGGAAGACTTTTATTGATGCTTTTTTGTTTTTACATTACTCATTTTTGGAAATACTTAGTCGTAGTCCCAAGCCCCAGAATTGATCCCACTCTTCTAACAAAGAAAAATACTTAATAGTAGCCACTGCTGACAGTGTATATAACATTTGGCCAGAGAGGTGACCAGCCCCTCTGCCAAGATGTGGGGAGTAATATTTCATTGCTCTATCCTCCAGGACCACAGTTGAATTTTCAGTTCAGTCAGCTTTAGATTCCTTGTAGATTTTTTCATTTATGTTGTTGTAGTGGTATGTATTCTGGTTTTGCTTATTTAGATTCTGTTCGTACAAACCTTCCCATGTTTTTCAGAAGTCATTGTTTTGAATTGTTCAGTAATAATCCATTATGTTTACATATGATTACCAGTGAATCGGGCCCCTTTTGAGCTGATAGACACCCTTGGCCAAGTACTGGATATCTAAAGGCAAAAATATAGTCCATGCCCATCAGGAAACTGACATAATGGAGAAAGCAATACCTTGTGATTGTATGTATATTTTGTAACTTTTACAGGGAAGCAGCAGGTAGTGACTTTTGAGTTTTGAAAGAAGGTGGGATTCCTAAAAGGCCAGAGGGGAGGAAGGGAGATAAATTAGGACACCATTACTACAGTCCAGGCCAGAGGTGGTGAGATCTAAAACTAGAATGGCAGCCATGTGACTCTCTGGTTTTGAATCTGGGTAGCTGGAAGGTTGATGGTATGTATCTTCTCCGTAAATAAGCAAGGTAAAAAGGGGAGGATAGTTTTGGGGGGAAATAAAATGAATTTTATTTGAGACATGTTAAGTTTGAGATACTTAAAAGATATCCACAGCATTCTTAAACCCTCTTGGTAGCATTGCTGAAAACGCTTCCAAGATATGAGTGAATGCGACAGAAAATTGCAGATTAATCCAAAATGCTAAGTATTTTCTTCTGACTTGGCATTATTTCACATCTGTGACAATTTTTAGAGAAGATGGAAGAAAGAAACAAGCTTGCTGAAGAGAGAGCTGGACTTTCCAAGTTTAAAGCCTTTTTGACTTAATTTGCTGAACTCTAGTTATCTGACCTTAAAGATGCAGAAGCTATTCAGAAGTTCTTTCTTGAAGAAATACAGCTTGGTGAGGAATTAATAGCCCAAAGTGAATATGAAAAGGGTGTTGACCACTTGACAAATGCCATTGCTGTCTGTGGGCAGCCATAGCAAGTTTTGCAGCAAACTGTCCCATCACCAGTGTTCCAGATACTTCTGACTAAGCTGCCAACAATTAGCCGGAGAATTGTGAGTGTACAGAGCTTGGCAGAAGATGATGTGGAATGAGAAACATGTCAACATAATCAAATCTTAATAAAAAAATTTTAAATAATTCTTAGCCCAGAAGATGAGCAGCAATGGGAAGAAAGAGCAAACATGTTAGTTATGAACTATGTATTACACTGAAATCTACCACAGTTGATTTTAACTTTGTGTAGGTAGGTTTGCTTGGATTTTATTTATTTATCTTAGTGAGAAGAGTATTTTGATTAAAAAAAATTTTTTTTCACTTTATAAATACACTATGAATTATCTAAAAAAGAGAGAGAGAGAGATCCAATGGGAAAAGACCAGTAAGTGGCCCCTGGCGATATAGACTAGGAACTTAGCATATATTGGAGTTGGATATATGTAGATGTTGATCTGGAAGTCATCTGCATAGAATGATGGATTATTAACCCCCATTCCCCCAGAGAGGCTGATTAAGTCATCGAGAATGTATAGAGAGAACTGGAGAGAGCTCTGTACAGAGCCTTGGTATACATCCATGGTTTTTAGGGAAGGAATATGAATAATTGTCCAGCAAGGGAGACTGAGGTGTAGTACCCAGAAAGGAGAGGAACCAAGAGAAAGTGCCGTGTCACAGAAGTCCAGAGGAAAGAGAATATCCAGAAGGAGAAGCATGTTGAACAGTACTGCAGAGGTCATGAAGATGAGGACTGAGAAAAAGGCCATTGAGTTTGGCAAATTGGAATCATTGTGTTGGAAAGATCAAATTGATTTATGGTAAAGTTGGAAGTCCATTTCTGCAAGGGATTGAGGAGTGAGTGAGAGTAGAGAAAGGAGTGCAGACAGGCTAAAAAGCTCCTTTGGGCAGTTTGGCTTTGAAGAGAGTGAAAGATGTATGACTACAGGGGATGGAGGAAGCAAGAGGAGGCCAGGACATGTTTGTAGGCATCAAGGAAGGAGCCCAGAGAAGACTTGTCCTTCAAGTGCAGAGAGTACCTGAAGATTAGAAGGAGGCAGGATAGTAAGAGGAGGGGAATACAGTCTGCAGGAGGGTGAGAAAAGAGATGGGGTAAAAGGATTGGCTTTGGCAAGAAGAGCAACCTTTTCATCAGACTGGAACCAAAGAGGAAAGAACAGGGAGTGATGTCAAGAAGTTTTGAGATGTAGCAGAGAAGTTATTTTACTTGCCTAATTCCAAACTGATATCTCGATGAGTTAGACTATCCTAGAGCTCTTCCTATTAATCTCTTTCCATGTTCCCTTGTTACAATTTTCCCATCTTTGCCAGTTTGCAATATATGAAGTAAAGCTGATAGTTTCAATTTGTGTTTGTAGTTTGTTATTCAGAAGTATCATTTAAAAACACTTTTGTACCCAATTCAAAAGTCTTACTTTGGAAATTAACCAAGTATTTGAATTATGAAAGTAGCCTGGATAAGATGTATATTGCTGTGGTTTAGGTGTTATGATGTTAAGCAGAAGTTTGTACTTGAACTAAACTAAGAATATGTTGGGATTTTTTCCTGTCGTTATATTAAAGTATGTATTTGCTAATCTGGAAACCATAGATCACACAAAGTAGTGCTACATGTAACTCAGTATAATATGCTAGTACTCTTCTCCCTCCACTAACAAAGGGATTAATTAGTAAGTTCAGGGAGAAGGGAAAGCAACATATTAATCTTGTTCATAGTTGTATGTCGTTTTGGGGAAATGTTTGTTAGGGAAAAAAAATTTTTTTAGCTAGATTTTCTTTACCTATGCATTTGAATTAATTGGTTCATTGTCTATGTGAATATATCTACCAATATCCCTGCCTGTATTAAGATGACAGAAAAGTGAAAAGTAAATTTAGAAGCACTTAAAGAAGCTTTTTTTAAAAAGGATAAAATTTTTTACCAACGGGATTAATAATTGTTTACCTACATTTATTAATTTTGTGTGACTCACATTTTTGTTTTGTAGGGTATGTATTCTGGCACGCCCACAAAAGTTAGACATGTTGATTATCAAGCAGGAGATGAATTTGACTTGGAGGCTTGTTTGACTGAACCACTGAAAGAATTCCCATCTGTGAGCTAAGGGTGCCACCTGGAGGCTATTTTGAGGAAACAAATTCTATTCTGAAATAGATGACATTGTTGAGGTGAAAATAATTCTGGTGACATGTTGGCCAAACTATGTTGTGCATTGATAACTGGATGTTTCCCTCCTGTTCATAGTTCATTATTTCATGATATTGCTATTCTTGCCTCATTTTCTTATTTTTACATAATTTTTTGTATATTGGATGGGTTTGCAAGTGTTAAATTATAAATTGTAACAACCCAAGAAAAGTGACATTGAAACAATTTAATTGTTCCATAGGTTTCTCTTCAAGTTAACTTGGCTGACATAAGTGGTTTTTTTCCAGGTATAAAATGCCACATTGGTCTCTTAGTTTTGTCATAGAACTATAATAAGGGGCCAGCCTTTCTTTGTCTTTTGCCAGTGTACTTTGAGTTGAATGTGACTCCATTTTCCTTACAGACTAAATTCTTGGCATCTCTTCAAGGTGTCAAGTGTATTAAGCTTTTCATTTCATCCAGAGCACTGGAAAGTCACCATAGATATGGTGAATTATTTGAATACTGAGCTTGAAGATTGCTGCATCCTTAGCTTGGTACTTGTAAATAGTCAGTGATAGACAGCTCTTCTTGTGATACTTGAAGAAGAGTTAAAGTAATGCAAAGTTTGTAGGGTAAAACATCTTAAAAATGCAACCAACTAATAAGCCATGTAAAATTGTAAATGACAACATTGTACAGATTTTCTGTTCAAATATTCAGTTGTAAACTTAATACAGTTAATGTTTTAATTGCTTTTGTATGGAATGTTCTTGCAAAAAATAAAAGGAAAAGAATATGGTGTATCAGATTTATTAGGTTGTCAGATAGATGTGAACTTTATTCCTCTGCTTCTCGATTAGCCTCTCATTGCTCATTCATTTTCAGAATTCATATAGCTTTCTTTCAAAATAATAGAAACAACTGTCCTGCATGTCTTTATACCTTCCCTTTTTTTTCTTATTTAAAAGATACACACTATAGATGAGAGGATACAGATATTATAAATTATCGTGGGTTGGTAGCCTGAAATTTATAGGTGCTCAATGTACATATTTGAATGAATGAAAATTGTTAAAAACTTGAATCTTAGTAAAATACCAATAGTGACAAATAATGTATATCTTTTGAATTATCTCTTATTCCTAGTGAGTCCTATCTAGACTTCATTGTGGATTTAGTTGCCCTGGTTTTACAGTAAAAAATCCTTTTGGTTGTTTTGTGGTAAATGTTTCCTGGTTTGTACAGCTATTGAAAAAAATTTTTTAAATTTTAGAATTGTGATTTGACTCCCCTAGTCAGACTACATCTGAAGTGTTGCATTAATTTCTAAATGCCACATCTTAGGAATGTTGTTGCTGAACTGGAGCAGATCAGGGCAATAAGAATCTTTGAGGACAAATTGGAAAAGTTAGGGAGAGTGAGGTTAGCCAGTTGAAGGGAAGGCTGTTCTATTTAAATCTTTTATTCCAGCCTTTGGATGGCACTTGTAAAATGACAAAAAAGGACAGATCCCAACAAAAAAATTGAGAGCAATTGTCATTGTGGTTTTTGTTTTTTAAAGACGTTGGTGTTGCTGGGCCCTCCCTTAGACCCATGTGGAGCAGACTTAAAAGTGTGTGCGGCTTCTGATTTTTGGCAAATGACAGACCAAGTACTACTAGACATTAGGAATACAGAGGTGAAATGTGAAATAGTTCCTGACCTCAAGGAGCTTACATACGGGAGTATGTACATGTCTGTCCATTTAGATCTGATTGAGGATCCACACTAATGAAATTTATTTTTTGAAGGTGGTTTCCCTAAGGATCAAATACTCAAAAATGATACCATCACTTTGTAGCTAACTTTATGCCTGGGATTTGCCCTTAAATTTACAAGAACATTCTGGTGGACTTACTTTTGTTTTGTTTTGTTCTTTTGTTACAAATAAGACTTTTGCACATCTTTCTGACACCTTATCTAGATATTCACAACCTCTAACAGAACAAAAACAAGCAAGGAAAATGGCTGATTACTCTCTTGTGCTTTTGTAGAAGATTACACAATTATTCTCACACTTTCCCAGGTACAAAAACTTCATGAGCTAAGTCACCTTATCATGAAATTTAAAATAGGTAAAAGGAAATAGTAAAATACATATATAAAGTTAGAACCAGAGTGCAGAAGCAGAATAGTCAATGCAGTTTAGCTAGACCGTAGAGGGGAAGAGTAAAGTAATGCTGAATGCCGTCTTAAGTAGGGTGATAATAGTAATGTATCAGGTTGTGATGAGTGGAGATGCTAGGAATATTTGCGTAGGATGGATGAGATCTGCATCCACCGTCTTTGGGCAATATGACTTAAGAATTATAGCTCTAGGGCTGCAAGGCCATCTAATCATCTAAGTGGCCTCAGGGGGTCGTTACCCGCCCAAGGTCACTCGGATAGTAAATGTCAGAAAGGAAATTTGAGCCCCTGTTCTCTCCATTGCCAATGTTCTTTCCACTGTACCAAGCTGCCTCAGTTACTTAGCTTTATTGGGCCTTAGTTTCTTCATCTGCAAAATGCAAGAGTTGGACCAGATTCTATGGAAGGAACAGTATGATGAACTTAGGGGCACATGTTCAGTAAATGGAGAGTAGTACAATTAGTTGGAATATAGTATATATGGAGACGGGTAGTGAGAGATGAAGCTAAAACAAGAAGTTATTGGCAGATAATTCAGGTAAAATGTTATGAAAGACCTGAATGAGAATAGAAGACAAGTAGAGGTTTTGTGTCTATAGAATGACTAAATATAGAAGGCAAGGACTGGCCAAAAAAAAAATGACTGAAGGATTTTTTAATATCTACGCTGTCAAGGAGAAAAAAATCCCTCAATACATAGATACATAGGTTAGGCAAAACATTCCCACAGTGGCCAAATCATAACATGATTATGATGGAAGTTTTAAGCCTGGGTACTGGAAGGATCTTGGCACCATCAATAGAAATGGAAACATTGGGACAGGGGAAAGGTTTTAGGGAGAGAAGTGATTGTTTCAAATGGTGAGCTGGTCGGAATTATTAAAAATCCATTGTACATTTAAAGTTGATTATTGGTTCACCCCTTACCCTTCTGCAGGCCAAATTACTACAGTTCCTCCTTAGGTCAGGTCCTTAACCATCTCTCATGAGCTCTGATAGCCTCTGAATTGGTCTCCCTGCCTCCTGTCTCTCCTGTCCAATCCATCCTCACCAGTTATCTAAATAATCTTCCTAAGGCACAGACACTCTATTACTGTTCAAATTCCTCAGGGGCTCTTTATTGCTGCTCAAAGGATAAAGACCAAACTCATAGTTCAACTAGCTCCTCCATGATCTGCTCCAGTCTATCTCTCCAGCTTTATCTCCCACTAATCTTCCTCAGATACGCTATTTCCCAGCTAAATCAGACTACTTATCATCACCCAAGCGCCCCATCTCAGTATCTCTGCCTCATCCTCTTAGTTTTGGCTGGGATGTCCCGTCAGTTTGCCTTATGAAACATATCTAAAAAAAAAAACGTCAACAAATGAAACATTACAAAACAGAAGAGAGCAGAAGCTCAGAAGGGAACACAGACAAGTGAGGCAGTTTTGTTCCTTTTGCGTTAAATTTAATGTACACTTTAAAACAAACTACATGAAAGAAGTTCACAGTTTCATGCACAATCCTTTTCCTATTCTTTGTATATTGAAATGTTTGTTTTTGTTGTTTATTGTCAGGCTCATAATAAAGTTGTTGAAACAAATCTCTTCCATCCATCTCTTTTCATTCCCAAGGATTGGCTGTGCGTGTGTAAAATTCTTACTCCTTTTCTCTTCCCCATGGCCTGATTCGATTCTCATCTCTCAGCCGTATTGTAATAATACAGCTGCCTGACTGAGCCCCTGCTTTGTTTTCTCTTGTATGGTTATATCTTCCACATACCCAAGTATGACTATGCTGTTTCCCCTTCTAAAACAAGTGGCTGCTTCTGGCATAAGGATAAACTAGAAATTCATCTGGGCATTCAAGGTTGTGCACAATTTGGTGGCATCCTACTTTTTCAACCTTATTTCTTATCTAATCTTTTTCAATTATATTATGTTCCCAACTAAACTGAACTACTAGCTTTTCCCTAATCTTGTCTTTGCCCTTTCCTGCCTCCATGTCTTTGAGCACACTACTCAGAACAGACTTCACCTGTTGAAACATTTTCAATCTTCATTTGTCATTTTCTCCTCAATTAAACCAAGTTCTGGTTTAGAGGGTAGAGGTTATGTGGCCTGTCTTTCTATCCCCCAAATTTAGCACAGATCATTGCACATAGTTGCAATATAATAAATGTATTGTTAAACTTGCTAACCAGTCTTTGTTGATAGATTTTTTTATGTCATCCTTAATGTTCTGTTTTGTGTTTAATAACGTTTAATGTCATTCTGTTTTGTAGGCAACTTAAAAATATATCTTTGTCTTCTTGATTATTGGCCAGTTGATTTGATTTCATGTCTTTAGTATTGTCAGGATCCCAAGACGTATGATGTAGACTTGTCTAGAAGAATAGGGAAAGTACCAGAAGGTGCCATCCAGAATGCAGATGTCACCATCCTTGATGCAGAATATCACCCAGCCTTTTATACGGCTCTGTGCCCAAGATCTCAGTCAACTCTTAAGCATAGCCTTGTTTACGTGTCTCTCCCAGGGATACATAATACAGAGCAAGCCGCTGAGGAATGCCTGAGCTGCCATAAAGAAGTCTCCCCTGACCCTCTTGTTTATCACCCTATGGCTGTTTCTTCCTCACTGGCCCAGGGCCCTTGGCTCACTTTACTTTTATCTACTGCCTCCAAGGTAGGCTCAGAGTGGGAAACAGGCTGCTGTTCTCGTGAGGGCTACTGGCAACAGTGCTTTCTCTCCCAACAGCATCCTTAGAGTGGTGTAGGAACAGGAATGAATTAGCAACTTCTGAGTGATGTTAGAGTGAGAATAACGTGGTGGGATTGGAATCTACTGCTTTAGGATGGAGATATTGCTATTGTTTACCAGTTTTAGAATCAGAAGGGTCATCTGGCCACATCCCTTACTTGACACATGAGGAAACTGAGGCCTATTGAGGGAAAGGGATTTGCCCAAGGACGTGCAATGCAGTAAATTAGTGGTAAAGTGAGATTTCATTTAACTCAACAAACATTAAGTGCAAAGCATTCCTGCTAGGTACTGGTTATTGAAAAGCCAGAAAACAACCCTTCAGTCAGAAGTTTAGGAGAAAAAATTTAGGGTAGGTAAAAGAGTGTTGGAGCTAGGGAAAGGGGAGACCTTGATTCTGAATTCTCACTTGGATACCTTCTGTATTACCATGAGCAAGTCACCACCTCTCTAAAACTCAAATTTCTTCACCTGATGATACTTCTAGTGCCTATCTGTAACAGGGACCACATGAGGGATAATCTACACTTCTCAGTGTAGATCCATCTATCTATCTGTTTATTATTATATTTTACATATTATATATAGATAAATATGTATTGCCATATAGATATCTTTCTTATACATAGTTGTTTGCATGCTATTTCCCCCATTACCCAAATTGACTTTTAAGGACCCTAATTTCAAGCCACATGGGGTATAAAACAGAAAATTGTCCCAACATGGATGAATCTAAGTCTACAAGGGGCTGGTGGCAGGTGCCACAATGTCAGTCTTCATCACAGAGTTATTGTGAGGGGTGATGTATATAAAGATGTTTTGTAATACTGCTATGCTAGAGAACAGATAAGCTATTACATTCTACTGGGTAGATATTGGAGGCTTACAAGATAATTTGAGAAGGCAAAGAATACTAATATCTCGAGGTATCAGGAAAGGCTTTCACAAAGGAGGTAACACTTAAAGTGTACCTGAAGGATACAGTATACACCAGCCAGTCATTGACGCCATGGCTGTTGAGTTCTGTGAACAGCACACCGTTAAGTTTGACTGGACGTGCATGAAGGACAGTACTGGGAAATAAAGATGGAAGGGAAGTGTTGAGGTAGATTTTGGAGAGCCTTAGAGGACAATCTTAGGCCTCTATGTTTTATCCTAGAGGCAATGGGGAAGTCACTGGAGGCTTTTGAGCAGGAAAGGGACATGTTCAGATTTATGAAAGGAAGACTATATGCTGCGTGGAAATTTGAGGGAGAAGATCTTGGAAGCAAGAACTATTTTAAGGGGCTGGTCAGGTGAGGAGTCCTAAGGGCCCGAACTAGAGAGCCTGGAATGGATGCACGAAATGTTGTGAAGGGTAGTATCACTGACTAGCTTAAGTCCAAAATATAACTCACACCCAAGCTCTGCCACTCACTGCGTGGGTGACCTTGAACAAATCACTTCAGTGTTCTCTATACTATATATCTGCTAACGTTCCTTCCACTTGAAATTTATGATCCTATAATCCCTCTACTACAAACAGATCTCTGACCCCATGCCTGAACACTTTCCCTTCCAATCTTGACCTCTTGGAATCCCTGGTTCACTTCAAAACTCATCTCAAAATGCCTTTCTGCACAGCTAGAACCTTCCCCCCCAAAGTTCCGGTGTATCTGCTGTATATATGTGTCTTGTATATACCTAATATGAACATATCTCTCTGGGTAGAAAATAAGTTCCTTGAGGGCAGGGACTATTTTGCCTTATTCTTTGATTCTTCAGTGCCTGTCATAGTGCCTTGCACAGATTATTTTATCCTGAAATGCTTGATTATGTCATTCATTGATCTCCTGATTCTCGGTCCCAGGTGCTGCTGCCCATCTCATCTCAGTAGCCAGATTTTGGAAGGGCAGGAGTTTGGCTTTGCCACAAACTCTAGCAGGAGGGAAATTCCATCAATGAAGGACCTTCTCAAAAATGCTCATAGCACAAAACAAAAACCAAAAATTACTTCCGGACATCAGAGATCTGTTTGTCTTTTTCTACAACGAAACTGCTGGGTTACACACACACACACACACACACACACACACACACACTCACATTTTCAGAGCACAGTGGGTACAGAAATGCCAAACCCTGCAGTCTCAGGCCAGAAGCTCCAGCTTTGAGTTGGAAATAAAACCAATGATCAGTCGGTACTGCAGAGGGCAGTCATAGAGCATCAGAGGTCTGAAAAAAAAGCCACCACTCACAGGCACAAAAAGATTTACAGCAGCTCTTTATTTGGTGACAAAAACTGGAAACTGAAGGGGTTTCCCCATCAACTGGAGAATGGCTGAATGAAATTGTGAGGATGAATGTAATGGAATAAAACTTTCCTTAAGAAATGACAAGATTTCAAAGAAAATCTAGGAAAGCTCCTCTGAATTGATACAGGGCAGTATGAACAGAACCAAGAAAAGCTATACAGTAACAACATTGTAAGGGAAAAACAACTTTGAAAGGCTTCAGAACTCAACAATACAGTGATTCCAGAGGACTGATGAGAAGGTATGCTACCCACGGCCTGGCAGAGAGATGACAGGCTCAAGGTGCAGTCTGAGACATGGATTTTTGGATGTGTCCAATGTGGGAATTTATGTTGCTTGACAATGTATCTTTGTTACAGAGGCTTCGTTTTTCTTTTCTTTTTTTTCCCAATGATGGAAAAAGGAAGGGAAGTGGGGAAAAATAGAGCAGATTTTTGTTGAGTGAAAAAATAAAAAAAAAAACAGCTACCAAATGCCCTTCTTACAAATATGTCATTATTATGAACAATAACAAAAACATTATTTGCAAATAAGTTTGTATAGAAAACCTTTAGCCTACAGACATCTATAAAAGTGATGAGTTATTTTTCAACCTGTGTCCCTTCTCCACTGTATGTACACATACACACACACACACACACACATTTTCCTTTTCTCAGTTATCTTATGATAATCCATGCTGGTAGAAGGGACTCTGAGTTCTCTAAGACTGTGCCAGTGAAGCATAAGCTGCAGCACTTCCAGGGCAAGCCCAAGCAAAAGACCCTGGGTCCACTGGACTATGACTTCGGCCAAGGCTGCCCACTTACTAGCTTTGTGACCCTGGTCACTGAGAGTAGTTATTTAACGTCCCTGAGCCTCTGTATTCTTATCTGTAAAACGAGGACAATAATATTGATAGTGGGGTTGCTGTAAATTTGTCTTCACAATGTTGTATAAATTGTTCTGGTTCTGTTCGCTCCATTCTGCACCAATTCGTATGAGTCTTCCAGTATCCTCCTTTCATAATTTCTTCCAGCATATTCATGTAAGAGAATTTCTCTTCCTCCATTTCCAATTCTTTTTTTTTCTTTTTTTAAATTTTTTTTTCTTTTTTTATTTTTAGTTTTCAACATTTACTTCCACCAGATTTTGAGTTCCAAATTTTCACCCCATCTTGCTCCTCCCCCCACCCCAAGATGGCATGCATTCTGAATACCCCTTCCCCTAGTCTGCTTTCCTTGCTATCTCTCCCCCTGCCCTTCCCCTTCTATTTTCCTATAGGGCAGGATAGATTTCTGTACCTCATTTCCTGTATTTCTTATTTCCCAGTTGCATGTGAAAACTTTTTTTTTAAACATGTGTTTTTTAAATTTTGGGTTCCAAATTTTCTCCCTTCCTCCCTCCCCACCCACCATCATTGAAAAGGCAAGCAACTCAATATTGGCTATACATGTGCAGTTATGCAAAACACTTCCATAGTAGACATGCTGTGAAAAACTAACTCTATTTCCCTTAATCCTATCCCGCCCCCCCATTTATTCTATTCTTCCTTTTGACCCTATCCCTCCTCAGAAG